CCGCCCCGCTCCTCGCGAGGGGCCCTCGCGCGCGAATGCTCGACAACGAGCGGGCGCGCGCGAAATGTCGCCTGGCGTCTGGCGGGGGTGGGGGGGGGGCGGGGCGCAGCAAACTCATGTGCGACGTGAAGATTGTGTCGCGCGAAAAAAATAGCGCCCCCCAGGGGGCGCCGATCGCCCCGGGGGGGGGGGCAGCCGGCGGGCGCTGCCGATGTTCCGCTGCGACAGGGGAACCCACCTGGCGCAACCCATGCGGCGCAGTTGCTTGCGAAGGAATTGGCGTTGCCCACCCCTCTGCTCGCGCACTCGCCCCGCCCGCCCGTCCGCGACCTGTTTTGTGATACCTATGCGGCGGCGGTTGCGATGGGTGCTTGGCGACTGCTGGCGCCTCTCTGCGGCCGCGCTGACGGGCGCGCGCTCGCGCGCGTGGAAGCCGGCCAGTCTGGCGCAACCGACGCGGCCGCGGGGGCGCTCGCCGCCGGGGACTTTGCAGCGCGTCTCTTTGGCCGCGCTGGAGCGCGGGCACTTCGCTGCGAGTCGACGACTCGGGCAAGCGCAGTGTCGCGGCGGCGCCGTCGACAGCGGAAACGTGGACGAGGGCGGCGATGGCGGCGACGATGATGACGATGACGGCGGCGAGACCAACGACGGCGCCGATGCTGGTGGCCGCGTCGGCCACGACGATAGCGCCCGCGTGTCGCCGATGAGGGTCTTGGGGGGATTTCGACGCGCGCGCCAGTCGCGCGCGCGCGCGTGGCCTGCGCGGCATTGTTTGACGGGGGTCGCGCGCCCCCGCAAAGCGCGCAGGGGCCTTCGACTGATTTTGACGCTCGCGCGCGAGAAGTCCGCGGGGTCTCCTCTGACGGAACTCTCTGAACAAAGCGAAGGTTTTCGGGGAGGCTCGCAGAATCGAGCGATGTTTTTCCGGGGGGTAGTCATGTCGCGACACTTGTGCGTTGATCTGGCGATGGTGACGATGCGATGGCGATGACGGCGGGAGGGCCCAATGCGAAGCCGATGTTGGCCGCGTCGACGACGATGGCGCCCGCGCGTCGGCGGTGTGAATATTTCGGGTGGATTGCGGCACGCGCGAGTGGCCCGCGCTGTCTGATCTGACGGGGATCGCGCACCCCGCAACCCCGAAGAAGAAGAAGCGCAAAAGGCGTTCGACTGATTTCGACGCGCGAGCGCGAGCGGCCCGCGCGGTTGCACGTGATGGGCATGTTTGGGAAACCTGCGATGGTCCTAACATTCTGAACGAGCAAGCGCGCCGTGTTCTCTGCAAAAGCCGCGCTGCTAAACTGCATGATGCTTCAAATGTGTTCGGCGACCTCGATCCTGCAATCCGGTCGAAATTGATGCGCGCGTGTCTGTGCGCGTGCGCTTTTTTTCTTTGAAAGCCCCATCATGCGCGCCCGACGGCTCGCGCGCGTTGGTCTATATGCGTTGTTGTAAAAGGGGTTGACGCGACTTGGCTATTTCTGAAAAGCGACATTGCGCGCATTGTACACTTTGAAAGCGATGGGGTGGGGATGCTGGATCTATCTGGAATGGAGAGAATTTGTACTTACGATGAACGGTGGGGCCCCATCACATGTTAAAGGGGGGAGCCTAAACGGCCCAATGAAGTTCCAAGAGCTATGAAATGTCAGCCCCAGTGCAGTGCTCGCGCAATCATCCCACTCATCTTCCCGCAACTTGGTTTGAGCAAGCCCACGCGGCGGCGATTGCGATGAAGGTTTGGCGCTGGCTGGCGCATCTCCGCGGCCCCGCTGGCTCGCGCATGCTCGCGCGCGCAGCGGCCACCTAGTTTGGCGCAACCGACGCGGCCGCGGTGGCGCTCGCCGATGGAAGCTCCCCGTCCCGTCTCACAGGCTGCGCTGGCGCGCGGGCACTTCACTTCGCTGCGAGTCCGTGGCTCGGGCGGGCGCAATAACACGGCCACGTCGACAACGGCGGACGCGATGATGATGATGGTCGCGATGGTGGTGGCGACGATGACGATGACGGCGGCAAGACCAATGGCGGCGCCCGTGCTGGCCACGCCGATGACGATGACGGCGCCCGCCTGTCGGCGATTTCGAAATGACTTCGGCAGGCGCGCGCGGCCGGCGCGCGCAAATGGCCCGCACGGCCGTCTTCGACAAGGGTCGTGCCGCCTGCCCCCCCGCCCCCAGCCCAGCAAGCGCGCAAGGGCGCTCGAATGATTCCAACACGAGCGCGAGCGATGCCAGTTTGGTCGCGTTTTCGGGAACCTCGATCTTGACACCCGTGCAAAACCTATGGTTTTGAGGGGTTCTGCAAAACGCGCGAAACGCACCGTGTGCGTGCGTACTTGCCCCCATGTGTGTGCAATGGGGTTATTGGAAGATGCTGGTTCTTGATAAACCAGTGCGCGCGCATACTCTTATTGGACAGAGATGGAAGGGGAAGGGTGGAGGCGATATCGGGTCTGACTGGGATGGTGCGATTTCATACGTTAGGCAAACGTTGGGGCAGAATCGTGCGCAACACATGTCATTCCAAAGGGAGGCAGCAAACCTAGGGGGAATCTATCCCAACTTCTGGTTAGAACCGGTGCAACATATGTGGTGTGAGATATGCGGCAGCGGCGACGGGCGAAGACGCGGCGACGGCAAGCGCGGCGACCGCCAGCCACGCGCAGAAGCAGCGGCGATGGACGGCGGCGACCGCGACAACAGGCGCGCGAGACCGCCAGGCAGGCCCAGACAACGGGCGGCGACGAGGCGGCCAGGGGCGGCGACGGCGGCGCCGGCCGCCAAACCGCCAGCCAGGCCCAGCTCCCTTAGAGCAAGGGGTAGAAACCCCAAAGTGCCAGCACTGTTGCAAAATGTCATGGCTGTTCCCCCTCCCCATATATCCAACATGTTCTCATCTTTGCGTTGTGCATTGGCGTTTGTGCATTTCCCCTCCTGATCCTCATCATGCCGAAGTGCAAGGAGCGGGCTGTAGGTGGAATGCAGCAGCAACGCTGAGCCGTGAGCAACGCCACAGCTCGAGAGGAGAAATCAGGGAGGAGGAAGAAGAGAAGGACGAGGCCGAGGAGGACGACGAGGGGGACGAGATGGGGACGCAGAGGGGGTCAGGGTGAAAGGTGAGTGCCACGAGGGAGGCCAGGGACAGGAGAATTCGATCCACAAAAAACAGGAAGTCCCCCGGCGGCTACTGCCCCCTGGCCGCTCCCTCCTCCCCTTCCTCCCCCCGCAACCCCTGCGCTCACGACGGCGTGCACCATACATTCGACTACAGCTCCACCCTCCCACTCCTCCTCGTCTTATGTTGTTCCCATCCTACTCAAGGACCACATCCCAGAAATAATTTCGAGCACCCGGAAAAGTGTCAAAAGAGTGTCGAAACAATGTCGGGCGAGTGTCTCCCAGGGCCCGACACGTGAAAACCCTTGAGTTTCGGCACATGTCTGTGGCGCTCGAAATTCTTCCTCGTGTTCAAGGCTAAAGTAGGTTGGAACATCATAATCCTCGTCATCCTTCTGCAGCTGCTGCTCCTCCCCTGACGTACGCGGGGTCTGCGGTGCAGCACTGCGCCCAGCGGAACAAAACTGGGTCGAGGGCCACCCTGCCGGCAGCTGCCACCAGCGGAGCGCTGCGGACTACGGCGAGCGCTCGCCGGCAAGATCCAGGCAGTGTGCAAATTCGGGCGTCGACCAGGGCTGGACCTAAACCCTAAACGCTGCTTTTCGTTTTGATTTCGTTCTGTTGCTCGCTTTGCTCCACCTGCTTTCCTGAGCCTCCCTCGCCAGACGAAGAACGGAACACGGCCGAGGGCCAGCAAAACAGCGCGCGGGCCCAGCCCTGGCGTCGACGGAGGTGCCCTCGGCCGAAGGTGCCCCGCGTAGAGGAAAGATAACTGTGCACACATACACCGATTCTGGCCAGGCCCATCCTGAGCCCAGGATCGGTGTATGCGCCCTCTTACCTTGGCCAGGAGGGTATATGCACCGATCCTGGGTCAAGGACGGGCGTTGTTAGGGGGCCACATGCGGACGCTATCCCTACCCCCCACGAGTTCTGAGGGGGAGGGTGGGGTTCACTTCGCTCGGGAGCTCCCGGACGAACTGACCGCCCCCCTCCTTTTGGGGCTTGGGGGGGGGGGCAGGGCTCCACTCTTCGGGTAGGAGGGAGGGACGGAGCGAGGGAGGAGGAGGAGGAGGAGGAGGAGGAGGAAGAGGAGGAAGAGAGGAGGAGGAGGAGGAGGAGGAGGAGGAGGAGGAGGAGGACAAGGAGTGCAAACCCAAGACTCCTGTGGCCCCCCAGCTGTCAGGATCGGTGCATGCGCATAGTCCTCTTCCCCCGAGTCGAGGGCCCCAGGGGCCTCCACGCCCCCGAGCTCGAGGCGCCTCCGGACGATTCCCCGGACGTCCCCTGGAGGCCTCGGCTCCTCTTGGCGTGAGGTCGGGCGCGTCTCCCCACAGGGGGCTTTTGGGCGGAAAAAAATACACCCCAAAATACGAACAAATCAGACTACTCGAAAATATACATGCAAAATACGCAAAAAATACCCTCCAGATATGCAAACATAGTCAAAACAGTCGTCCCCAGACTATCTCTTGACCATTTCTGAGAATTCCCCCTGTGGGGGGACACGCCCGACTCAACCCTTGGCGTCGCTGGGCCGTCTGAAGGCCGCCCGGGCGCGCATGGCGGCCCTGTCCTGGGGGCACCTGGCTGATCGGCGGAGCAGCCGGGGCTTTGCGTCAGGTCGGGCGTGTCCTCCTGCAGGCGGATCTTGGACGGCAGATAAGAGATACCCCAAGCAATCCTCAACAGCAAATGAAAAAAAAAATGGAAGGAACAAAGAAGTTCCCAGACTAGTGTTTGACCATTTGGGGATATTCCTCCTGTAGAGGGACACGCCCGACTTAAGCCTTGCGCGCGAGGGCGAGGTGACCCTGGCCATCGCTTGGACGTCCATTCCCTGTCTTTTTGGTTTCGTGCGTGGTTTTTTCGCGAAATGATCAAGGATGCTCCTCGATGGTCCTCGCCGAAGGAAACATGCACACGTCCGAGCGATGCCAAGCGCGAGGGCGAGGTGACCTCACGCGGCGGTTTGCGCCGGCCGCCGTGGCGGCACGCGCCGTGGAGGGGAGGGCACCTGCGCGCGACGGGAGGCGAGCGGCTGGCTTGCAGGTGTCAGCGCCCGTCGACCGCCCTCTTCAGCAGGGACTGGCCGTCCCGGCATTCCGATAGGCCTACCGTTCTGTCGGGCGTGTCCCCCGATTCTCGGCGAAAAATAAACAATACCCCCCAAAAATGCCCCAAAAAGGTCAAACCAATACTCGAAAAATAGTCCCCAGACTATTTGTGGATTAATGTTTGATTATTGTTGGGGTACTTTTATTTTCAAGCCTACCACGAAACGTTCTCAGAACCCAAACATGTCCGAACAGCCAGAGCGGTGTGCTTAGAGCAGAAGGCCTGTGTGAGGAAGCAAGACGGTCTCGGCCAGAGATGTGCCGAGAGCATCCCGTGCAGACCACGAGAGGCTCCTGGGACAGTCTCCGGTGGGCCTATAGGCAAGCCGGGACGCTTCGCCACTGCCCGACCCTCGCAGCCAGCGGGCCTGCGGGGCAGCAGGCCCTGGGCCCTTCGAGCGGGTGGTGACCCAAACGGGGGGGAGGGAGGAGGAGGAGGAGGAGGAGGAGGAGGAGGAGGAGGAGGAGGAGGAGCAGGAGGAGGAGGAGGAGGAGGAGGAGGAGAAGGAGGAGGAGGAGGAGGAGAATGAGAGAGGAGGAGACGTTGATGCTCCAGGGCTGGGACGTGCGTCGGCTGTCGCGCCGAAGCGCGGTGGGCAAGGCGACGTGACACGTTCAGTAAACTTGCCTCGGTATGATGATCTGGAAGAGCCCCCGGAAGAGCCCCTGGGGAAGCGAAAACCAGGGAGACAGCTGAGGACCCCTTCGCCTCAGGAGCCCTTCCCTTCGTAGAGACTTGGGCCAAAAACACCTCCGACAGTACTTGGTAGGACGGCGGCTCACATCCGGAACATCGGCATCACGGTGTCGTAGAGGAGGCCACACGAGCCGCAGACCCACACCTTCGACGGGGGACGAGGGGAGGGAAGGCGGATGAGCGGAGGAGCGTCCGTGGATGAGGACGCGGAGGAGCGTCCGCGAATGGAGAGGGAGGGAGGGAGGGGAGGAGGGAGGAAGAGGAGGGGCGATGGTGATGATGATGCTGGTGATGACGATGACGATCACGATGACGATGATGGCGATTGTGATGTTGATACTGCTGATGTTGATGATGCTGGTGATGATGATGCTGGTGATGACGATGACGATGACGATGACGATGATGATGATGCTGATGCTGATGCTGATGCTGATGCTGATGACGATGACGATGACGATGACGATGACGATGATGCTGATGCTGATGATGATGATGATGATGATGATGATGATGATGATGATGATGATGATGATGATGATGATGCTGATGCTGATGCTGATGCTGATGCTGATGCTGATGCTGATGCTGATGCTGATGCTGATGCTGATGCTGATGGTGGTGACAAGGATGCTGATGCCGATGCTGATGATGGCCATGGTGATGATGAGGATGATGAGGAGGAGGAGGGACCGAGGGCGAGGAGGATACCGCAGGAGCTGCAGACCCACACCTTCGACGGGCCCCCCGTGCAGCCGGAGCCGACCTCGGGCTGCCTGTCCCAGCCGCAGTACCCCTCCTCGTCCTCCAGGCGCTGCAGGCGGAGCATGCCGTCCTCGGGGGAAGGCGCGCATCGCCGGCGCGCGGGAGCGACCCCCACTGCGGCAGGCTCGCGCGGCGTCGGCGCGGGCAAAGGCTTTCGACACCGCGTCGATCGTTCAGGCTCGAATCGACCGCGGCCCCGGTCGTTCCAAAGTTGAAGTCCGTCGGGTCCAATGGTGTTACCGCGTTCCTCGGTGATTCCGCGTCACAGATTTCAACCTGGAATTCCTTCGCCGGCGTCGCTGGCGCGCCAACGCAGCACGAACCTACCGCACAGGCGGTGGAGCATCGCTGCTGGCGAGATTTCATGGGACTTCTGCTCGGCGTGTCGCGGCGGCGGCCCATGCGACACGCTATGCCATGCGAGAGGCTACCGTTTCGCTCCGCTCCGCGGGGCGGGCGGCTGGGAAAGGCTCGGACCAGCGTTGTGGACGCCATGACAACGGACACTCTAGCAATCGTATCATCGAATTAAACATGTGTTTAGCATGTCGGAAACATGTCCTGGAAATGCTTTACATATGTTTCCATTGTTTTGCAATTTCAACACATGTTCTAAACATCTGGAGATTATTTGGCAACATGCTTCCTCTCTATTGATCGTCCTCCAAAAGACCAGCGATGCTTGGGGACCGGGGCGCGGATGGCGCGTCGCGCCGACGCACGGTGGGCCAGGACTGGCGGCGCGACACGCGGGGCCCCCGGGGTGCCTCGGCTCGTCCCTCCTCCAGCGATTCATCGTCGCTTCTCTCCTCGCATTCTCGTTCCTCTTCTTCTGAAGGGGCCCTGGGACACACAAGTAAATACACACAAATAAAAAGATTCCCCATATTTTCATATATTTTCTGGGTTTTTGGCTTCCCCCCCCACTTCCTATGTTTTTCCCATATTTTCTGGGGAATCGAAGATTAATTGTGTCTGTGTGTTTCTTCCCCTCCTGATCTTCGTCTTCCCCGACGACGGCGACGGCGACGTCGACGTCGACGTCGACGGCAACGCCTTCGCTCTCGCAGGCGGACGGACGCGCCCAGGCGCGCGTGGGCCGCGGGGGTGCGGGCGGGGGGTTAGATCCGCGCGCGACGGCCTGTACTGGGGCGTCGCCGCCGCCGCCGCCGCAGCCGCCGTCGTCGTCGTCGTCGTCGCAGCCGTTGTCGTCGCCGTCGTCGTCGTCATCGTCGTCGTCGTCTTCGTCGTCGCCGCCGTCGTCGGCGTCGGCGTCGGCGTCGTCGTCGTTGTTGTCGTCGTCGGACACACACACACACACTCTTTCTTCTTTTTTTGTTTCTCTCTCTCTCTCTCAACAACAAAACGCAAAGACTGGCCAGGTAACGAGCAGGTGCCGACCACAGGAGGAGGAGGAGGAGGAGGAGGAGGAGGAGGAGGAGGAGAGGAGGAGAGGAGGGAGGAGGAGGAGGAGAGGAGGGAGAGGAGGAGGAGGAGGAGGAGGAAGGAGGAGAGGAGGAGGAGGAGGAGGAGGAGGAGGAGGAAGGAGGAGGAGGAGGGAGGAGGAAGAGGAAGAGGAGAGGAGGGAGGAGGAGGAGGAAGGGAGAGGAGGAGGAGAGGAGGAGGAGGTGGAGGAGGAAGAGGAGGAGGAGGAGGTGGAGGAGGAGGAGGAGGAGGAGGAGGAGGGGGAAGGAGGAGGAGCCGGTCCTCGCCCCAGCTCCTGCCCCAGGAGTTCTTGACGTCTACCAGCCTCGAGCGTGTCCCTATCCCTAAGATTGACGCGCCAAAAGGCGGTGACAATCCCAGGGATCCGCCCTCGAAAAAAATAAGGGAATCCCTAAGGTTGGCATCGCGACGAAGAGGTGCCCCGCATAGGGATAGGGATCTGATTCCAGGCCGGTAGGATGTGCCAGTACCTCACCTCCCCGTGCTTCGAGGTCGTGGTCGTGCCGAAGCCGAAGAGCACCACCGCGTGGCTGATGACGCTCCTCTGGTCGCAGCCCTTCGGGGTGAGGATGCCGTGGTAATACCAGTTCCAGTCGTGGCCCGCAGCCACCGCGACCGCGAGCGGCCCGTACTCCACCTCCAAGGGCCCAGGCAGGGCTTGGGGGTCTTCGCGCACGGGGCGCCACCTCACGAAGGAGCACGGGGCCCCTTACGATAAACAGCAAGAGTGCACCGAACCTTTTGGTAGGGGACCTGAGTTGGGACAGGGTGTCTTTCCTGCTGATGTTGTATCAGGCCGAACCGCCCAGATTTATGACCCGCAATGCGAGGACGGAGACGCGAGGCGAGTGAGGCCACGCCTTCATCGTGTTATCAGGGTTAGGAGTCCTTCTGTTGTCGATGTCCTTACAGCACAGACCCCCGACGTCGTGATTTTTTCGCAATGTCGACCCCGCGAGGTCTGGACCTCTTCCCCGGCGCTGGCTTTTCATCCTGAATGGTTGTTTGGCGGTCCCGAAGCCGGCCGGGTAGGGGCCCCCACAGGCCGAGCGCGAGGGGGTCTGGGAGAAGCCGAGGGGGTCTGGGAGAAGCCCCCCCGTGATCCAAGAGGCCCTCTCCTGGAAGCGCCCGAGCCTTATGTCGGGCATGTCCCCCATACAGGCAGATGCTGCAGGAGGATTAAGATGTGGTCAAACAGTGTTCAACCGTTGCCAACAAAAACATAATCATCGCCCCCAGATTACAGGGCAGATGTTGATGAATGGGACTTTTAAAGACATAGGATTGTTAATACATGATTAATTTAGGAATGCATGCATGTATGAACTCATCGTTGGTTTGAATACCATCGTCCGCACGCTGAGCATGTGTGAAAAACGGCACTGTACAGACTTGACTCGTTTCGAATACCCCTCCTGTCTGAAGACGTGCCCAAAGGATTGCAAAAAAACAGATTGCAAAAACAAACAAACAAAAAACAAACAAACAAAAAAACAAAAAAAAAAAACGATTGCAAAAAACAACACCGCAGCCCTTCTGAGAGGCACCTGGCCCTTTTTGGGGCTGCCGGCCCCCGTGCGCCGCCCCCTCGTGCGCAGGGGGGCCGAGGTCCTGGCCGCGTCCAAGGCCAACGCGAACTGCTGCGCGCCTGCGCCCCCATGGAAGAGGAGGAACGAGAAGGAGGAGGGGGAGGAAGAGGAGGAGGAGGAGGAGGAGGAGGAGGGGGAGGAGGGGGAGGGAGGAGGAGGAACGAGAAAGAGGAGGAGGACGACGACGAGGACGACCTGAGGAGGAGGAGGAGAGGAGGAGAGGAGGAGGGACGACGACGACGAGGACGACCTGAGGAGAAGGAGGAGGAGGAGGAGGGGGGGGGGAGGAGGAGGAGGAGGGGGAGGAGGAGGAGGAGGAGGAGGAGCAGGAGGAGCAGGAGGAGGAGGAGGAGGAGGAGGAGATAAGATAAGATAAGACACGACTATGGGCCCGCATCCCTCTGTCCTGCTGGCACAGCCGCGGCGGAGCGGACACACCGCGCGCTCTGCGCCCAAATGAAATTTATCGATTAAACCGTGGGATTTCGGATTCATCGTTCAGTGCGTGAAACCTAGAGGGTGCGCCCGTCGGAGGACTGGTGAAAATCATGAGGTTCGAGGAGGGGCCCGACGGGCCCTGACGGACCTGAAGACTGGGCCCCAAGGGCGCGCGCACCGACGCGTAAGGTGCGCACAGACCCCAAAGGACGGAGAGCACGGGGCCACAAGGCCCGATGTGGAGCTACTTCAAGGCGGGCCAACAGGGGGGCGGACCTCGCGGCAGCGCTTGAACAAAAAAGAAGGAAAAACAAAAAAAAAAAAGGCGATGGAAGCAGTGGTGGCCTCACGGTCCGTCGACCTCACACGACGTGGTTTGCCTCTGGGTCGGCGAGGCCCAGTCCGTAGGTGTCGATGTGCTCCCAGCACCCGGAGGAGGAGGAGGAGGAGGAGGAGGAGGAAGAGGAGGAGGAGGAGGAGGAGGACGAGGACCTGAAAGCTTGAGGCAGAACATCTGGATGACCCGCCGCCTTGCTGAGCGGCAACATCCTTGACCCGAATGCGCCCGGCCAGGGCGCGCAGGCGATGGCTGTCGACCAGGCGTGCCTTGCCTGCCGAGTCGGGGCCAAGAGGGGCAAGGAGCACCGTCTTGGGCGGGGCCCTGCACGGTGCGACAGCATCATCACCCTCCATCTGTCTCCTGTAATGAAGGTGGTGGCCTTCTCTGATACGCTTGAGGGCACTCGCTCCTGAGGCTCCAGGCTTCTCGAGACACAACTGGCCGAGCAAATGACATCGCCGACTGGCGTAAGCACCACATCGGGTGCAACATATCAATTGTTTTTGAGACTGGTTCAAACCAGCGAAGCCCAGCTTGTGTCGACGGACAGACCCGACACCTTCAAGGCGCCTCAGGGCCGTGGGGGCACCAGAACAACCATTCATGGGTCGAGCCTCGCTGCCCAAAGAAACCAGAAAACACTTGCCGCACCTAGACTCGCACACTCCTCCCCGAGACCCCTCCCGCTCCTGCCAGTCCGGCGGTGGTTGCATTCGGGGGCGGCGGGCCTGGCGCGGTTGGCGCACAAACTCCAGCTTGGGGAACAGCGGGGAGACAGCGCCAAACATCTTCGCACAAGAAAGGGGCAGCGTCACCTGCCTATCCAGCGCCTCCAGATATGCAAATGACGCACGCGAGTGTAGGACAGCGCAAACTTAGCTAGACGGTCAGCATCGGCACTCGCTAGTGCGATTCGTTTCTCCTCGCGTGGGAGGGCTTGAATTACCTGGTATGATCGGTGCGCTGGCGCGTGGTATGCCTCGCTCGCCGCATCGGAAAACCTAGGGCCTGCTGGGCAGCCCTGCGAAATCGAGCACGCATCTGCTTGGCCCCAACTGGGCCGCGCCCGAGGCATTGTGCAAACTGACAGCTCCTTTGCAATCACTGGAAGTGGTGCTCATACCCGGCGCGAACGCACGAACAGTGGCAAGACCAACATTATCGGCCGCTTGCGAGCCTGGGGTAGGGAGGGCCAAGTTGGGGCCAACATCCTGGCCTGAACTGTGTACTCGGGCCCAGGTTCCAAACAGGCCGCCGCAAGAGTGGCTCGATTCAGGTCTTTCATGATGCACTGGGTGGCCGATCCATCAACCACTACATCGTAAGTCTCGCTGCGCTCGACGAATTCTTGGGAGGTCAGTGGACTGCCGTCGCCGTCTTGCAGGAGAGGGTCCGTCGCCGTCGAAGGACTCATTCGGCTGGGCCAACATCAACCGACTCCACAAGAGCTGCTCAGACGGTTCGCTGGCTCGGGCTTTCTGAACAATCTCGCCTTCAATCATCTCACTGCGCACTGACTCTATCTCAGGGGCCTGGCACAGCCACTTTCGGTGAAAGAGCGAGCCAGGTTGTCCGCAGCATGGGCATTTGCCGTCGGACACGTAGCCAGAAACCTGAAGGAGATCAGCCGCCGAAGCACCCTGAGTAAAACGCGCGCAGATCCAAAATCCTGCTCGCGGACAGGCACGCTTCGAACGGAGGAGGGGGCGGGCGGGGGCCAACCGAGACACGATCGCCGTCGAAGGAGGCGGTCGACATTGCGAGTTTTTTTTTTCCCTTGAGACTTGCATGAGATCTCGGCGCCCCTCCCTGCAGCAGGCTAGACGCCATGACAGGCATTCCCACGACTAGGTTGCCTAAGTCGTCCTGCCAGAGGTGGAAGCTTAAAGCCTTCTATCCTCTGCGGCGCAAGCTCAGGGGCATTCGATGGCCAAGGCATCTCGAGCATCTCCATCGATGGGATCCCATTTCTAGCTTCTGAGCCTCCGGGGTCCGCCATATCCTGACGTGGCCCCTGAAGGTGGGTGGGCTGGTGCTCGGGGTCGCCAAGCTTCTCCGCAAACTCGATGCCCACTGCCGAGCAGGAGAAACCGCCTGAAGCCATGCTGAGTCGCCATGCAGGCGAATCTTGGCCGTGGGAGAGACTCCTCGACGCGCTGGCACATGTCCAGCCAAGAGCGCCCTCCTGAGTTCAAGAAGCTCCTGGTCGGACATCCCCAGGACCATGGGCCCAGATCCAGCGGCTGGCCTGGGCCCCGAGATGCACATCTGGTCCGTCCGAGATCGGCCCCTAGGAAGTGGCACCGAAAAAACTTGACAAATCCACGTCGCTTCCTCATCGCCTTAAACCATTCCTTTCGCTTGGCCAGACCTTGTTTTGTTGCCCGCTGCTGCCCTGGCGCCAGGTCGCGGCCGAAGGAAACGACGGAATTGCACGCAACCAACGGGCAACGTCGGGCAAGCTTCTCGGCTAGGCGGGCGGCCGCGCTGGAGGGGGAGGAGGAGGAGGAGGAGGAGGGGGAGGAGGGGGGGCGATCGATCGAGCCTTGGGGCCGAGTTCGGGGCGACGCCTACTGGGGCAACGCTGTGAGGCCTCGGAACTGCGTCGCGTAGGAATGGGGGAACTGTCGTCAGGGGGCGCTCGGGCCCTTCCCGCGCCGCCCCCCCCCCCGCCACACACGCGCGCAGGGACTCGCGGGCGGGGTGGCGCCCGCCCTCACGGACGCCCCCATCGCCTGCTGCCCTCGGCCTTTGCGCTGGGTCCGCCCCCCCTTCGATTCCCCATTGGGAGGCTTTTCAGGGGGCGATGGTGGGCGGGGCACCAGGAAGTACTCTGGAAAACTCGGCCCTTGAAATCTGAAAACCGCTGGCGCGTCCTGGGTTGGCGCTCTAAGTCTACAGCTCTGCACTAACTCTCGGAATCTCGCGCTGCCCTCAAAAACTCAGGGGATCGCCCTCGGGATTTCTCCGGTTTCGACCCTCTGGATTCGAACTCTGCTTTCGTCCGGGGCTGAATTAGACTGGGGCGCGTCTGAGCTCGGGGTCCCATTCACTGTCTGTCCCGGCACTACTCCCGTCTGTTTCCTCTCGGCCTGTGCTGTTAGTCCAGCATCCTGCCCAGTTCTCTCTCTCTCTCTCTCTCTCTCTCTCTCTCTCCGGTAAGCCTCTCAGATCCGAGCCTATCTTCCTCGCGGCCCTCTCCCTCTTGTGTTTCTTGCCCTGGATCGCGGCCTGCTGGTGGTGAGTCTCGTTGAACATGACTGGGAATCA